GCCTATTCTTTTGATGTTTTTGTTGGAGGAGTGAGATATGCAGTGTCGCTGCGGAGATCAACTGACACTATGTGTTTTTCATCACAGCTTGCCTCATACAGATCTACCACCTCTGTGCAAGTCACAGTCCTTTGTGCAGATACTGCAACATTCTGCCTACACGAGGGCAAGTGAAAGATGCCGTCTCACTGTCTTCAAGTAGATCCGCAAGAGCCCCATCCGGCTGCCGCAGAATGCAAGATTGCGGATCAACATCTTTGCCCCACCTGTAAGAAGATTCGCCGTTGTGCCTACGTGAGCGCGGTACTGTTTCGTGTTGCCCGTCCAACTTCATCGATTTGTTAAGATTTGGTATCTGAGACCGGACCTTCATAGTCCCCTTATTTCAAGACCAAGCAGGATGAATGACTCGTCTCTGATCACAAGCTTTGCTAGTTCAAGCTGTGGGTGGTTGTTTATTCAAAAGGCGCAGGTTGTGGGGTCTTCAACTTTGATGCCCGCACATCCCTACCCATACCTTTTGAGAAAATACTCCATTGTGCTTGGGATTGTCACGAGGTATTCTTGCAACTTGCAACGTATTGCGCTACCAACGTCACACATTTGTTAAGATTGTGTGCGTGTGACTTTTACAGTTCTCCCACCGCAAGACCAAGCAGCATGTGTGACTCTCGTCTTGTCACTTGTCACCAGCTTTCCTGGTTGAGGCTCCGGGCTGTGGTGCATGAGAAGTCTCAATCCCGCACACCCACAGCCGCAGCTTTGGGCAGATTCTCATTTGTGCCTACACGAGCGTGGTACAGAATTGTTAGAAGTTAGAAGCTGTCTCATTCGTCTTGCTTTGCCCATATGTACTCGCTTGTTACGATTGAGTATTTGTGACTTTTATAGTCCCCCAACTGCAAGGCCAAGCAGCATGAGTGACTCATGTCTTGTCACCTCTTTCCTGGTTGATCCTACCTTTGAGTTCCTTTGAGCAGACACTGCTACATTGTGCCTACACGAGCGTAAGTGAGAGAGGCCGTGTTACTGTCTTCAAGTAGATCCGCAAGAGCCCCACTCGGCTGCCGCAGAATGGAAGATTGCAGGTCAACTTAAACGTTTGAGTGAGATCTGCCTTGTCACTGCGGAGGCTGCAGAGGTCACTGCAGAGGTCAATAGTTTTCCAGTAACCAATAGTGGCTTTTTTGTTCTTGCCGTGCAGAAAAGCATCTTTGCTTCCGCTTCCCCGGCAAGTTTATGTGAGCATCCAACAAAACTTCCGGTCCATACTTTGGTCATGAGCCTCCTGAAGTATTTCTTTGTATTTCTTGATCAGAACCTTGCAAAACCGATAGGGGCCAACCCTATACCTTTTTTCAAGACCAAGCAGGATGAAACTTTGCAAGTT